TGACAGATGAGGCCTGTGGGTGAGATGATAATTGTGAATCAATGCTAATTTCCTGATTTTGAAGGCTGCATAAGAACTTGCAGGGGATACAGTCCCTGTTTGTGGGAAATTCACACTAAAATATTAGGAAGTCATGAGGCATCAGATCAGCAACTTACCCTAAAATGGTTCAGGAAAAACTGGTTATTTTTATTCTATTTGTAATTTTTATGAAAGCTTGAGGCTATGAAAACAACAACCAACTTTCTCACATTAGTAATCCCAGTACATAATCCTCATGAACACTGCTTTCTTCCTGACACCCAGTGGACAACACGTATTTATCCTTGTGGCAGAGAGGATAAATCTTAACTTTTTTTCTTTCCCCTTGTTTTTTTTTTTTTTTGCTAATATAGATTTCAATGATCATAAATCTCATTATCACACTATCTACAAGTCAGAGTGAAAGGGTCTGAAAGCTAATCACGGCTCTCATTGAGGAGGAAAACCTAAGGCATTGCCTCTAGTCATTCACTCCAGCCTTTTCAGGATTTCAAATGTAGGAAAGTGTCCTGAAACTCCATCTTAAAGGCATTCAAATATCAAGCTAATTGCCAAGCATTAAAAAACAAAACAAAACAAAACAAAAAGCCTAATGTCAATTTGCAAGAATCAACTTAATTTAGGTTCAAAAATTAATTGCAGCAAATTGCTATTTAAATAAAGCACAAAAATCTCAAAATATGAGCTAAGCCCCAAAATACTTGCTTTCAGAATTATATTTGCTCGTGTAGCTAAAGAGATGTATTTTAATAATATCGTCTCTGTTGACTTGCCACAGGAAAACAGAGTTGCTATGAAATATTCCTTTTAAGGAAAAAAAAAAACACCAGGATCTAGTGCAGAGTTCTGAAAACCTTAAAAGGTTATTATTCTTTCTTCATTTTCCTTTCTCCGCGCCCCCCCCCCTTTTTAAATAAATTAAGCTTAAAATTTAAGAGGATTGGAAGAGCAGATACAATTTGTTACATTGGGCTGCCACCTAGTGTTAAAATAAAGAACACATTTGCTTTTTCCTTTTTGTAAACTTTTGTATTGATAGTATTTTCAAAATGACAGCGGTTAGAAGTTAATACTACAGTTAAAAGATTTTTTTTGAATATTTAAGAAATTTTTATTTTCAGATCTTCATTTCCTACTGTAATATATTTAATATTTGAACTTTATAGATATACCTCCTTAACTTGGTTAATTTTATACTCCAGACTATAAACATCAATGGTACCTTAAAAATCTAAACACATAAATTCTGCTAAACTGCAAGAATTTGGGGATTAAATAAAACAAATGAGAGACTATCATTTTTTATTTACATGAGTTCACACATATTTTAATCTTATTCTAATGACTGACTTGTTTCCAATATGAAAACCACATTTAAAAGAACTTGATCTCCTTGCTTCAAATACAGCCGTTCACATTCCATACTCCAGTTCCATCCACACAGTAAATGCAACTTTACTGTATCAGATCAAAGCTACTTAACATAAATTCAGTGAAGTTGAACCTTTCACAAACAGCATGGAAATGTGTGTTGAAAAAAAATTTTTCCAGGCTACTACTATAAGTAGCTTTTTTTCTTTGCAATATTAATGTACTGAAATAAAATGTATTTAAAATATAGATATGAGATTATTCCATTCAGTCCAAACCTATTAAATACCTTCCAAAAGTTTCATAATTCAGTCCTAGAAATTCTGTGAGCTGTGAGCATTTCCTGTTCAGAAATGTGACCTCTACAAAAGCCCCCAGGAGATTTCAGAAAAAATATATGTGATCTTCTAATTGAAAAGTTGATTGGTTTGCCAAATGATGCAGCCAGGTTTGCTTCTCTAAAAGCTTCTGATAAGGTCGGATGTGCATGACAGACTCGAGCTGTATCTCCACAGGATGCCCCATATTCCAATGAAGAGCAGCTTCAGTTACCATTCCACCAGCACCTGGTCCCAGATATGTGCTCCCAATACTCTGTCCGTTGATTTCTGCCCAAGAATCTTCCCCATGCCGTCTGTGTCAGCATTTGTCTTAGCTCTGTTTGCAGCAAATGGGAATTTCCCAATTTTGTACTCAATACCCTCTTCTTTCAACTGCTCCTCTGATTTGCCAACCCAGGCAACTTCCGGTGTGTGTAAATCACTGACGGTACACAGTTGTAGTCAATGTGCATGGCACCACCAGCCATTCCTTCAACACAGATGATGCCTTCATCCTCTGCTTTGTGAGCCAGCATAGGACCCGCAACCATGTCACCAATAGCATAGATATTTGGAATTTTAGTTTGGAATCTGGTATTGACTGGAATTCTACCTCTAGGATCTAAGTCATGCCAAGGTCTTCTAGTCCCAAATTCTGAGTGAAAGGTCATTGGCCAATGCAAACCAAGAGTACATCACAAGTGATAATTTCAGCTTTACCACCAGAGGCAGCTTCAATAGAAACATCAATTTTTCCATCTGACTTCTTGGTAGCACCAGTAACTTTTGTATTCAATTTAAATTTAAATCCTTGTTTTTGAAGGATGCGCTGAAAGTTTTTAGATATCTCCATATCAATTCCAATTCCCCCAACATGACCCAAAAACTCAACTGCTGTCACATCTGCACCAAGTCTTTGCCAAACTGAACCCAATTCTACACCTATTACTCCTGCACCAATGACAACCATCTTTTCTGGAACTTTTTTTAAAGATAAAGCACCTGTAGATGACACTACTGTATGTTCATCAATCGTGATTCCAGGAAAAGGAGTAACTTCTGAACCTGGAGCTATAAGAATATTCTTTGTGTTGATAACTTGAGTGCTGCCATCGGCTTTTGTAGCCGTGACCTGGTTTTTGCCAGTTATCTTTCCATATCCATTTACATGAACAACCTTATTTTGTTTGAGTAAGTGGGCAATTCCACCTGTTAAAGCTTTTACTGCAGTACCCTTATGCTCCATCATCTTCTCTAAATTCAAGCGAACTTCAGACATTTCAGTTCCCCTAGATGCAAAATCTTTTCCATGGGCCATGTGGTAATAATGAGAGTTATTTAATAAAGCCTTAGAAGGAATACAACCAACATTCAAGCATGTTCCACCAAGTGTTTCGTTTTTCTCAACGCAGACTGTCTTGAAGCCTAACTGGGCAGCTTTAATAGCAGCAACATATCCTCCGGGACCGGAACCTATCACTGTCACATCAGCATCAATCGGCTGATCTGCGTAAGTTCTCATAGGCGCTGCAGAAACTCCCTGGAGGCCATGAGTTATTCGATTGAAATGGCCTCTCTTGGCCAAGGAACAGTATACACGACTCCAGCTCTGCATTTTTCCGCTGAACTTTCTTTTCCGCCAATGCTTTCACCTCCCCCAAACGCCTCCGCCGCCTCCACAAGGTCTCCCCACCCCAAAAGATTTTTAAGAATAAAAACTAAATATATTTAAGGTATATAACCTGCTGATTAGATATATACATAGTGAAATGGTTACTACTGTCAAGCTAATTAACCTATTAGCTCCTCACATAGTTACCATCTATTGTGTGAACCTGAAATCCTACTCGCTTAGCATATTTCCAGTGGTCAGCACAGTGCTAAGTGTAATCATCATGCCTGTAAATTAGATTTCTAAATGTATTCATCCAACACAAATACAACGATGTACCCTTTGACCAGCATCTCCCCATTGTCCCCACCAACCCAGCCCCTGGTAACCACTATTCTACATTGTGCTTCTATATGTGCTTTATAACTTTGATTTGACGTTTTCACGTTTGACATACCATGTATGGTGTGTGTGTGTGTGTGTGTGTGTGTGTGTGTGTACATATACCACACCTTTATCCATTTATCCATTGATGGACACGTAAGTTGTTTCCATATCTAGGCTATTGTGGATAATGCTGTAATGAACATGGAAGTGCAGATATCTCTTTGAGATCTTGTTTTCAGTTTCTGTGGATATATATCCAGAAATTAGATTGCTGGATCATATGACAGTTCTATTTTTTTTATTTTTTGTGGAACCTTCATACTGTTTTCCATAGTAGCTATACCAATTTACTTTCCCATCAACAGTGCACAGAATTCCCTTTTCTTCACATCCTCTTCTACATTTGTCATCTCTTGTCTTTTTGATGACAGCCATTCTAACAGTGTGAAGTGATGTGCCATTGTGGGTTTGGGTTCCATTTCCCTGATGATTAGTGATGTGGGGCATCTTTTCATGTACCAATTGGCCATTTGGATGTCTTCTTTGGAAAAATGTCCACCCAGTTCCTACCCGTTATTTAACCAGAGTTTTCTTTTTCTGAGTTGAGTGAGTTTTTATATACTTTGGACATTAATTCTTTATCAGATATATGATTTACAAATATTTTCTCCCATTTGGTAGATTGCTTTTTTAGTTCGTTGACGGTTTCCTTTGAGGTACAGAAGCTTTTGAGTCCCACTTGTTTATTTTTGCTTTTGTTGCCTGTGCTTCCAAATACAGAGCAAGACCTGAGAATTCGATCTTGTGCAAACAGCTGTGTGCAAGGCCCCAGCCACCAAATGCTAGCAGTACTCTAATGCTAGCAGTACTCTCTTTTAATTGTAACATCCAAAAATAGCCTGAGAGGCCAGTGTCACCCCCACTCCTGCATGAGTTTAATTTTCATAGTAATTAGAGACAAAGCACAGGCAAGTTGAAATTTTTAGTTTATTCTGTAAATATTGATGAATAAGATATTTTATATTATGGCATATTGCATTTCTGTTTTGGGTAATATTTCTTATAGATCCACAGAAATAGACCTTTTATTATAGTATATAATAATATAGAGAAAAGCAGAAGTGCCTGACCTCAACATACTTAAAATCTGGAAGAGATTATAATCTAATCTAAAAGTTAACAGATATTATGATAGTAAGACAGATATATAAGAAGAAAAACTTGATGTAATTCCTATATATTTTTTTAATTTTTAATATTTTGCTGTAATTATTGTCTTATAAATTTTATGAGTGTTACAAATTTTCATAAAATTTTTATGGGTCTTAGACATTTTCTTACAAATGTTATGGGCCAAAGTGAGAAAAAAGAACTAAGAAAAAATGGAAAAAGAAGACAAATAAGAAGTAAAAAATATCATTTAAAAAAGAACAAAGGATATAGAAAAGAAAATTTAAAACAGGAAAAAATTTGGGAGCAAGCCATATGCAGTATGTTGTTGCTTTTTCTTCCTCAAAATTAATTTTTATGACTCAGTAATTTCAGTAATCATAGAAACTCACAGGGGTATTTCTTATTTATCTGATGAATTTGTGAATTCATATCATATAACAAATTAAGAAAAATCTTTAAATCTTGAACCTTGCCGGAAAATAAATTGCCTTAATTCATTCAGTTCTATCTGTACCATGAATTGCTTCAGGTTTTCTGAAGCATTAAATATGAAACTGGATCGGTTCCTTGGAAAGTCTCGAGAATATGAAACTTTGAGGGAAATAGTAGAAATATGGGCAGCAGGGAAGAAAACCTATGAGCCTATGTATCAATTAAGCAGCCTAATCTCATAATATAATGATTTTTCTACATATTTCTCAAAAGTTCTATTTTAAAGAACATCCTTTTCATTTATTTAAAGACACATCGCTTTAAGGGTTGAAGGGAACTCTAAAGATTACAGTTTAACTTTCTGTCTTCAAGGAAAATCTAAATTGCCTGTTGACCAAGAAAGTCTTCAAAAATAGAAAAGGAAGAAATTTTAATCACTTCCCTTGGGAACTCATTCTAATGCCTAGCAGCATATTGGTCAGGAATATTCTGTAACGCTTTCAGCGTAATTTAGATATGTTCGGTAACTTCTGTAATGATTTTGGAGATATCGAGGGAGTGGATCCAAGTCCTTAAATTTGACCTTTCAAAGGATACATCTAGATCGCCTCCTTATAGCAGTAGGTCAGAAGGAACTCTGTTTCTCTTGATTTCTTCATAAGTGACTTCCTACCAAAGTTATGATAACCTAGAAAAGTTTCTTACTGTTTTTTGTCAGGATGTGAGTTGAGTGGACATCTTACCTGGTTAGCAAAGTAGCATTTGTGGCTTCGGAGCTGAATCACAGCCAGAATTAATTTACCTAAGGTTTTAAATGGAATGAAAAGAACTACAAGGCTGAGTCCAGTCTAAAGCTTAAGGAAAGACCATGTGTTCAAACTGAGGGAACTAAAATAAGCTCAAAAAATTCAGAAACCATTAGACCCATCGTGTTTGGATGGGCCAAGTAGACCCCTTGTATTGGGAAGTAATGCAGCATTGTAGCTCCAGGTGGACTGAACATTACTCGTCTTTGTATGGGTCATACATGGCAGGGATTACACAAGGACTGGAGGAATGCTCTGACCTCGTATCGTCCTTTTGTGTGGCTGCATCAAGGCATGGCTTTCATCAAGTAATGAAAGAGCATCCTTACCTCCTGGTACCCATCTTCACTCCCAATATACAGGACGTAAATCTGAATGCTGTATTTTGTGGCTAACGGCACAAAAGACAGTTCCATAGGTCGATTACCTTTTGCTTAAACCAGTGGCTCCCCCCAAGAACAAAGAGCAGCAAATCAAAGCAGCTGATCGCTGTGACGCTCAAGAAGATTTCATTATAAAACGCGATGTTCTCGTTGCAGTCACTGGAGTGTGCCACCGTGTACAAGTAATAGATCCTAAAGAACTGGTAGGGGAGGAAGCAGATGAAGATGACCCCGATGAAGAACAGGTTTTTCAGCTGGGCCCAGAACTCCTGGTGGGACAGTAAGGAGTGGCGTATCTTGCGCACCATGGACATGGTGATGAAGACCTGGAGGACCAAGAGGACCACTGCGATGGCGATGACAATGGTGACGATCAGATAGTTGACCGCCTGCGCGTAGGAATGGGCCAGCTCTTTGTGGAACCTGAAGCAGTGCTTCTCCTCGTACACCCCCTTGTTCCCATACTGAGAAACGACGAGGGGCACGACGATGACCACCACCAGCAGCCACATGCCCGTGCTGGCAGCCACCGCGTGCAGCTTCCTGTAGAACTCCACTTTGTCCTTGCGCTTGAAGAAGATGAGGTACCTGATGACCAGGATCACCACGTAGAACAGGAAGGTGAGGTACATGTGGATGTGCAACATGGCGCTCACGAACTTACAGAAAGGCAAGCCTAGCGACCACTCTTGCCTCACGAGGTAGGTCAAGCGAAAAGGCACCGTCAGCAGAAACACGCTGTGCACCACCACCAGGTTGACGACGGCCGTCGTGGTCACAGACCGGGTGTTCATTTTCACCAGCAGGAACAGGATGGAGATGATGCCCACCAGCCCCCCGACCAGCACTGCACTGTAGAGCCTGGTTAAATGGGGTGTCAGGATCGGATTGCAGGTGGAACTATTGTCGGTGGACATACTTCAGAAGTCACCTGGAAGAGACAAAGCGCCCGCGTGACCGACAGACTTCCAGAGCATTGTTCATGCCTCCCTAGCACCGGCAATGTGATTTTGTCATTTATCTGTTTACGTGACGTAAACTTTATGTACTTTAAAAACGAAGACTGCGCCATATGCATGTCTGTGCACTCCAGACTGAAAACACAGAAAATCGATGATTCTTAGTCTTCAATAGCTTAAAGGCCTATCAAGAGGCCCTCATAGCATGTATATGTGTACATTGTCAAGAGTTTGCCTAAAACTGCATTGCAGACCATTTGATGCTGAAACAGAGAAATTATAATAGTACTGTAGCTACCACTGGGAGAAAAATAGTAACATGGATGGAAAGTTGGGTGAATCCACTAAGTACAAAAAATATATTTTTTTCTTTTAAGTATGATTCTAATTCTCTAAAGCCTTCAACTCATCAGCGAATCATCCAACAATACTTATACTTAATTCATGTAGGAGACATGAAATTAGTTTAGCAAAAAAACACTGGCTAAGCCAAGGCAGCAGAAAGCAAGAGGTGCGTGTATTTGAATCTCCCCTCAGAGTCCCAGTACCATCTGACAGTAAGGCCTCGGCTAAGCTCTTCTCCAGATCCCAACTGGAAACACAGCATGCCCCCATGTCTCCCATCCCCTAACCTCAAATTCAGAAAAGAGTCATTATTTTTTTTTCCTCTGGTATTCTGAGAGATCCTTCTTCTAAATAGCCTTGGTCACTTCTAGTTTGTTATCTACATTATAATCTATTATTTACTAAATGAAAGATTTAGTAATCTTTTAATTGCACTCATCATATCATTTTTCTTTCTTACTTAAATTCCTTCAGTAGTTTCCCATTTCTTTTAAAGTAAAAATCAAAATCCTTACATGTCTAGAATGTTCTGGGTTTATGGCAAAATTTAATCCCTTGAGAACAGATTCAAGAAATAATCTAGAGGTAAAATTGACAGGATTTGATGAATTGTATTTGGGCAAATGAGGAAAAAGGAAGTGTCTCAATTACTCTCAGATTTCTGACTTGAACAACTGTATGATTGATTAGAGGTCTGTTTACTGACACCAGGAGACTGAGGATCAAATTTGAGGAAGAACAGTAGTTAAATTATGCAGTTAGTATCTGACCTTTGTAACACATTTGCAGTTCTTATTCATTTCTTGAATGTCTCTTCATTCAAGCAAAATTACCCAACAATAAAAATGAACCAACTACTGATACACATAATACTGATGAACGGCAAATGCATCATAATAAACCGTGTATTTTCAATAGGGACTATCGCCCGCAAAGGGTCAAAACTGTGTTCTTGAAGTGTGAAAAATCTTACTTTTTTATGTATAAAACACAAATATACATATACTACATAAACAGGCATACAACATATCTGTGATATTAACATTTCATAAACAGGGAGAGACAATTAGGGAAAAAAATCTAAAAAGTCTAAAAAGGTTCTTAGGAGGGCAATAATAAAAAAATGTTGAGAAACACTTGACTAAATAAAAGATGCCAGCCACAAAAGACTTCATATTATGTTTTCTTTACTAGAAAATCAAAACTACAGTGACAGATAGAAAATTAGTGTAGGCCAGGGTCTGGGTAGCAGGGAAAAGATTGACTTCAAAGGGGCATGGGGGGGCTTGATGGGGGAAATGATGATGATGATAATAAAAAAAACAACCTGACCCCAGACAGCCTCTGCTTTTGTGGGTGTGGAATAGATTCTCTATGTGACCCACTTAAAAGGTTGCCTCATATTATACTTGTTCTATGTGATATGTAATTCTGTACTTGCCTTTTATTTTTCCGTGTAGAAAAGTAGTTCCATCAAGTAGACATGAAATTATACTGTGTTCATATCTGAATCAAGGATGAATGTCCCACCATGAGTTCTGATCATCTTTTCCTTTGGCTATTGACCTAGAAGAACAGAAGGAAGAAAGTAAAACCAGTCGCATATTATCTGTCCCAAGTCCTTTTTTCTTATAAACTGCCATGATCTCTCTCTCTCAGTGATAAGAAGCCCATGTGCTACCTCTTCTGTGTGCCAGGTACCACACATGATGCTCGCCTGCACATACAGACTCGTTTAACCATCACGACAGTCCTATGTGTGGTGTATGTGTTACTAGTGAATATATTGAATATATTGAATTTCAGATGAAGAAACTGAGCCCCACACAGGATAAGTCATTTGGCCAAGGTCTCCAAAGACACACACACACACACACACACACACACACACACACACACACACCTCCTATTGTACACCATAAAGAAGCAAGTTGTGTGTCTCCTACGCCCAAGTTTCTAAATCTTAGCATAAGAAGGAGGGGAGTCCACGGAGAAATTTGGTTCTACTCACATGGCTGTATGCAAGCTGCTCTTCCCTCTTTGTGGATTTCTTACTTTCCTATTTCCTTTACTTGGTTTATAGCGGAGCCTATGGTTAGCTTGTTCAGCATAACCCTTTCTGGCCTGCCTTTCTGTACAGACTTTTTGCTTGTATGTGGCCTAGTTTTTGCTAGTCTGTCGCACTGCTGCAAAATTTGGAGGCAGAAGTAAGGCCGGGGAAGGATGTTGGTGTGAGATTAGATCTGATCTCTCGATCACTTGGCAAGACCGCAGGGGACATTGGGTTGCTCGGGGACACCAGTGACACCGGGCCCCAGTGCTACTCGTCGTGGATTTCAGGAAGTTGGAGCTGGAGCCACTGATGCTTCGGCTGTCAACCCCAGGGCGGTGTTGGATACTTCTCCCTAACTGCCTGGACCCAGGCTTTGTAGCAGCCAAGCCTGGTTCTCAGACATTCCACAATATTCTGAATGCTATCAGCTTTTAATAAGCACCTTCCACTTAAGTCAGATGAAGTGCGTTCTGTTGTGTGCAGTTAACGACCCTGATATTCCTGGTTAATTCCTATTTCTCCTTCAAGAATCAGCTGAGGCATCGTTTCCTCCAGGAAGCCTTTCCTAATCTCCACTCTCCATTCAGGCTGTGTGCCCTTTCTCTTTTGCCTCCTGTAACACATGTGTGCCTCCATTGTGGCGTTTATCACACAGACCCGAACTCTCAGCTACACTTCTGCCTTCCCAACAAGACTGACCAGGGAAGAATGGTGTTTTCCCCTGTATCCGCGGAACCTAATGAAGTGTTTTTAAAATTTATGTAAATATTGTTCTCAAAAACTGACATACACATAGTGGAGTGTTCAGCTATACGTATACAGCTCATTGAATTTTTTTTTATCGATTTTATTGAGGAATTGGGGATGGGAACAGCCAAGTTGTTGTCCTTCAATCTTGGCTAGCTCAGCTCCAAGCCCAGTCGCCATCTGGTGGCCCAGTGGCAGCTCACGGCCGCTCAGCTCAAGGTGCCGTGTTCAATCTTACTTGCTGGTGGGCATAGCCCACCATCCAATGCAGGAGTCGAACCGGAAACCTTGTTGTTAGGAGCATGTGCTCTCACCAGCTGAGCCATCCTGCCACTTGGCAGCTCAGTGGCAGCTCAGCTCGGGCGCAGCTCACTGGCCCATGTGGGAATCGAACCAGCGACCCTGTTGCTCAGAGCTCACGCTCTTAACCAACTGAGCCACTTGGCCAGCCCAGTTCATTGAATTTTAACAGAGTAGATATACTTGCACCAAAGGGAATCCCTATCCTGACAAGTAACATCATAGTGTAGTTTTGTCTGCTTTGACTTTTATACAAATTCAGCCTTCTGTTTTTGTGTGTATCTAGCTTCGTTCGCTCAACATTGTGCTTTGAGGTTCAGTCATGTGTATTGTTTTAGTTCATTCATTCTTATTAAAATATATCATTATATGAATATGCCTCAATTTATCCATTCTATTATTGATGACAATAGTATTATTTCCAGTTATAAGTCTATTATAAATAATGCTACTCTGAGCATTCTTATAAATATCTTTTGTAAAAATAAGTATGCGTTTCTGTTGCAAATTTGCCTAAGTGTGGAAGTGATGGATCATAGGGTATGCATATGTTCAGTGTTAGTAAAAACTGCAAACAGTTTTCAATATAAATCCCCACTAACAGTTGGTGAGAGTTTCAGTTGCTCCACAACCTCAAGAACGCTCAGAATTTTCTACCTTTTTTCTTTTTGTCCTTGAATCAATGTGGTTTTACTCGCTATTCCCCTAATAAGTAATAAAGATGAGCACATTCTCATGGGTTTACTCGACACTTGGCTATCCTGGTTTTGTGATGTGTCTGTTAACATCTTTTGCCATATTTCTATTTGGGTGTGTGCCTTTTTTATTATTTATTTGTAGTAGTTCTTCCACATAGCCTAGATATCACTCCTGTGTTGGCTATATGTATTGCAAATATCTTCTTGTATTTTAATTTTCAGTACTTAATTGGTGTCTCTTGATTCATAGAACTTCTAATTTTTAGTATTCACCAATTTCTCAAATATTCCTTCAGATTCAGTACTTTCCTGTCCTATTAAGGAATCTTTGTCTATCCAAAGGCAATAAAGCTAGCTGTGTTTTCTTTTGTTTAACTTTCTTTAAAAAAAATCATTTTTTTGGAATTCATTTTTACAATCATGTCCAATCCACTTAGAATTGTTTTTTTATTATAATGTAAGGTAGGAGGCCATGATTAATTTTTTCCACATGACTAGCCAATGGACCCAGAATCATGAATTGGACAGATCATCCCTACTCCCTCTAAACTGCAGTGTTACCTTTGTCATAAATTAGGTGACCATATAGGACTCAACTTAGTTCATTTTGAGGACTTGGGTATGTCCCACTGGTTTATCGATCTGCACGTGTGCAAATACACACTGTCTAAATCACCATTGTGATTTATATCAGGTAGTATTATATATTGTGTTTTCATGTCAGGTAGTATAGCTTTTCCAGCTTTCTGTTCTTTAAGATCACCTGAGCTATACTGACTTTCTGCATTTCTATATAAATTATAGCAACTGCTCCTAAACATTTCTGTGGTTTTTTTAATGGGTTTGCATTGAAATTATAGATATTGATAGCTTTCAGTAGTAAGCCTTTTAGTCCCTAAATGTAATACGTTCCTCCATTTTCTTAGGTCATCTTTAGTTTGTCTCGTAATTGCTTCTTAATACATAATTGTTAAATGAGTGAAACCAAACATTAAACTAAACCAGATAATCTATAAAAGAATTAGAAATAAACCAGCATCAGACTTTTGATGTATTGATAGCTGGGGGGAAATCTGAATGAATGGTTTTGAAAGACAGTTTTGAATTTAGAATTATGCGTTCAACCAAACTAGCATTCAAGAGGGAGAGAAGAGGAAAGGCAGCATCTGATACGTGAACACACAGAAAGCTCGCGTCTCTCAGACCCTCCCTGAATTATCACTGTATATTCCAGCAGAATGAAAAAGGATATATGGGATACCAAAAATATGGTAGTGAATCAATATATAAATGAAACACAATTGAATCGAAAATATTACCCCACACACAATACTATAATGCCCGATGGTTTCAACATGGTGGGAATGGGAAAAATAAAAGACAATTTGTATGTTAAGATTTTGTCTTACTGGGAGGAGGTTAACGATAGTATTTACTGTAGATAAACAAACCACATATATATATATATATATATACACACACACATATGTATATATGTATATATATTCATATATGTAAAAATCATATATATATATGATTTTAAATTCTTGATGAAAATTTAAGAACAATCACTTGGTGAATAGACATTGGTGTGCTTACAAATGATCAGAAGGAAAAATGGAATACCGTAAGCCCAATAAATCCAGGCAAGGGCAGGAAGGAAAATTAAACAGAAAACATGGTAAATAACAAATTTAAAAAGAAAGCAATAAGTCCAGACATATCTGAAATGATAATCAATATAAATTATATTTTGTTCCTTCCTCCACTTATAAAAAAGAGAAATTATATACAACTCTGTGAATATACTAAAAACCACTTATTTGTATAATTTAAAACAGTGAATTGTATGGTATATGGATTCTATTTCAATAAAGTCATTAAAGAAAGGGAGAGAACAAAACTGTGTCTTAACCAGCCTTTGGTGGAGGAAGAGGAGACAACCATGATTGATGACGGAAAGGAATGCATGGTGCTAAGTGGCTGCCTTCATGTTGGAAGCAGAGGGGTGAAGTCTGACTCAGATCCCTGGGAGGCCAGCTCGGTGGCCTCGGTGCCAGTAACTGGGAGCTTTGGGTGACCTGGCCAGACTCACGTTAAAAGTCCTGGTCCCACCGACCGTACCCTTCGTTCTCTTTGCTTTCCGCTCCATCCCTGGTTCACATCCTCCTGCCGCACACTGAGCAGATGGCCCGTGGGCGGGTTCAGCTTGCTGGGCCTTCCGTGTGAGAGAGCAAGCCCTACCCCAGTCATTCTCTCCTGAGCAGTTATCACCGCCAAATCCCTTGTTCCTCATCGCCATCCATTCCCACCCTTGTCCCCAGAAATGAAGGACCCATGAAAGCTGTATGATTCACCACTGTGTCTCCAGGGCCAGTGGAACCCCTGTGCCAGGGATCAGGAGACAAAAATCACAAAATCTTAGCATGAGAGTGAAACCTAGAGCTCATTGGTCCAACACACCATTTAAATTGAGGAAGACACTGCAGCCTCCACAGGGACCTCCATTACCTCACTCAGGAGTCAACAGCTAATATCTCAGTTCTCTGTTCCAGTTCAGAACTGTCCTCTACCACAGGAGCACTCCAGAGGCCCAGAGAGGGGAAAGCCAGCTCATCTGTGGCACAACCAAGCTCTGTGCCCACCCACATGTACCCTTCTGTGAGGACAGCTGTCAGGAGCCACGGTGAGTACCCAGCTCCAGCTAGAGGAGGCAGAACAATGAGAAAATGTTGCTGGACAAATGCTTTTCCTGCCTTTGAGATTTCCTGAGAACAAGCTACATTCTGTTATGTTCGTTGAAAACAAATAGGATCATTCACTTTAATCATTCAGGGAAAACTAAGCAGCATTTCATCCAAAATATTTTGAGAATAGACTCTGGAATGACAGCTTCACATGAGGGACAGCCTCAGGGTAGGTTAAAAAAAAAGCCTGTCTGAAAATAGCAGAAGCAATATGGAAACAACAAAACAGAAATGTCAGCTCTAAAGAAATCCATTTGAGGGTGTTATATGCCTAAGGAACATGTACCCATCCCCACCCCCCTTCCTTTTTTTCGAGTTTACACTCTCACAGTCATCTTCCTTTGCCTGTCCTATTTCTGAAGTTTGAAAGGAGCCTCCTGGGTCTTCAACCACAATTGTAAAGAAAAACATGCTTGCGTAGACCGTTTCACTAATCAAAACCACAAGCTCCAACTAGCAGCAGCGCTCAGGGTGTGAGCTCTTATCCCTGCAGCCATTGCTCCTGACTGTCCACCTCCTGGTTCCCCCATTAGGGAAATGAAAGCTGGACATACGGCTCCATGAGGTTGAAACTCAGAAGTTTGTTTTCGTTCAGAGCAAGAGCCACACCACCTTGTCACTATTTTGATTTCTTCAAAATAAGAAGCATTCTGAATTCTTTCCTTTCTGGAGGAGACCTTTGCACCCATCTGTAGGTCTCTAGGTACTGAAATGAGCTATGAATTCTGATCCTCCCATATGTTCCCCCCTCCCCTTAATGGAAATCTTGCTGCAAATACCTTGTTCCCCAAGGATTGTGCCATATTATCCGGGAACGTTCAGCCTGTGGGATTGTGTGCCTGGAATTCCCAAGTGCCCAATGCCGCAGTGGCCTTGCCAGCCCT